CAGTCCTGGGTGAGGCCTCCGTGCCGAGCCCTCCCTCCCGAGGGGGAGTGTGAGGGGGAGCGGGGTGCAGCTGGCACCTAGTGGGGTGTCCGCACGGTGGGGGTGATGGCCCAGCTGCTCCAGGCCTCCCTGGGCCTCCGGCAGCCCCAGCGTGGTCTGCAATTGGAAGTTTCCACCCGCCACCACCTGCTGCTTGCAGCTTCTCAGGTACAAAGGACCAAATGTAACACTTCACGTCTCCTCGGGCCTTGTACAGAAGGGTATTTTGTTACCTCAGCCTCTTCGGTTTGAGAGCAGAGAACGCGATGTACATACAACTGTGTTAATAAACGTCATTTTGGGAACCTCAGTCTTGGCGCCTTCTCTAAGGTCGCTGCCGCGGGCGTTCGCTGGGCTGAACAAGCCAGCTCCAACTGCTATTTGCCAGGAAGTTTTTGTGTCCGTGGGTCTGTTAAACGCTCACCCACCAGCTACGCTGCATTTACTCCGCGCTTGCAAACTGGGCTCTGGCAGAGGCTGGAGCTCACAGAAAATCTCCTTCCCTAGTAAGTGCTTGAGCTGAATTAAGCTGGAGAATTTGGGCCGTTTGTTCCAGTTTCCTCATCCTGATGAACACAAACTGTGCCACAGCCCCAACAGCTAGTGTTTATTTTGTTTGTCCTTGCAAAATACAGTTTCTCAGGGTTTGGGGTTAAACTGGAGGGGAAATATCTAACCGTATTAGCCAAACACATCTAATTTCAGGAGCGTACCACGAGCCCAGTCACTGCATCGCGGACTTGCACTCGAGCTGTTATCGCTGCTTCGTAATCCCAAAGACTGCTGCCTGCACGTCACCACAACGTTAAAAATACAAGGAATTCTTACTATAAAAGTACTTATTCATTATTCGTCCTACAGTTATCATCTCTGGCAGCTTAACTTTTTTAACAAACGGAACCACAGAAAAAAATCACACAGCTAACGTGCCTCGGCCGCTGGCTGCTGCTGGCTGCACGTCAGTGGTATTTAGCGTAAGTCAGGGAGGTACGTGATGCCCGTTACCGGGCGACGGAACGTGTGCACGGTCCCCATGAAGGGAAGAGTAGGCACTTGGATTGGTTCTGTAAGCTTATTGTAGATGCAATATAAAAATAGATTATATTAATAGGAAAAACTTAGTGTTTACCAAAGTGGACTGTAAATAGGCTTAGCACGAGAGAGAAACCTTGTTACAGGTAGTCTAGACTAAAAAGAACTTCACCTGACGACGCGGTAAGCGGTGCGTTTTTAACCTCCGTTCGGATGCACCTCCTCGTGCAAACCGCGGGGCTGACTGCGGCCGGGAGCGCGAAGGCCTGCGGGGGGTTGAAGGAGCTGACGGCTTCCCGCCTGCGCTGATCTCGGCGGCATGGGAGGCTG